AACGTGCCCCATCAGTAACAAAAAACATTAGTAACCAAAAACGACCTTCCTTGACGTTGTTAGAATTGTCTTGGTGACTCCTCCATTCTTAGTGACATCTAATTTGTTGTTGACAATTTTTTTCTTTTCTTTTTTCTTTCCTTCTTGATTTTCGTTCCTAAGAGCATCTATAATGAGTGATGCTATTTTAAAGAGATAAATTGATAAAATATCATTTTGAATAGTATAAATATAGTTTTTTTTACCATATGTACTCCAATGGAAAAAAGTTATTTGAAAAGCCAATCTTATTAGAGTGTAATAAATAAGTATTTTATTTTTTCTTAATGATTTTGATGTTATTATTTTTCACATGGCTACATTTAATTAGTTTTTTTTTGTTGGCACCATTTTATTAGTTTTGGCTCTTTTAAGAGATATGTAAGAATAATATTTGTGAGAAAGAAAAGGTATTTTAGCATTTTGTTTGGCTTTCCTCTTGGAGTATGAAAAACAAGTAAAAAAGCCAAAATATTACTTTTTTATTTTTAGCTTTCCATTTAGCACCTCCATTTGGAGATGCTCTAACCCTTCAGATTTTAAAAGAAGCCCTTTAATTTATTTTTCTTTCATATGTGGTTTATATTATTTCAATTATTATTTTTTATTTGAAATAATTTATAAAATTAAAATTTATTTTCAGTGTTATTTTTCCTTTTTTTACAAATTTATTATTCAAAGTTAAAAATAAATAATTTTTTCATTGACTTTGTATTGTAAGTATTGGAAAGAGGAAAGAAATTATCAAAACCTGTTTGTTACTACTGATTTTTCTATATGCTTTTAAAACTTATAATTTTAGTCTAATTTAATTTGATTTTTACTATGATGATAATACAAAAATAAAAATAAAAATATTATAGAGTAAAATAAGATGAAATAGAGAACAAGGGATTATGAAGAGTACGAACTAAAATAATAACATGGGAGATTATGCAAAAGAGAAAAAGAAAAAGAAATTGGAGGGTCATAGAAAATCATAAAATTATTAAAAGAGATCTTATACACTAGGAAGATAAAATTTAATTAATTAGGAATTCATGGTCAAGAAGAAAACAATATAAATGCCTAATATTATTTTTTAAATTTATTTTTTCTTGTTTTACATGGGATTCTAGTCAATGTAAATTAAAGTCTTTCACACATAAAGATTGGAAGGAAAAGACTATTTTAAACTTCAACTTTGCAGCCACTGATCTCCCGTCATCTAGCGGAGGTGACCTTCATAGCTAGTGCATAGAGAAAGGAGAAAAGGAGCATCATGTGATGTTGTCAACGCGCCTCCTTGGCATGGCAGCGCATGGAATCGATGCTCGGAATCTAACTACACGTTGCATGTGTGAACAATATATGCTAATATTGTGTTTTTTAAGCCACTCCTCATTCAAAGTCTAGCTGATTTTTAAAGGTCAATTTAAAATTCATATATGTGATTTTTTGTTGTTCAAATAATTTTGTGATTTATTTTTTAATGTTAATGCTATGTTGTTTGAATTAAATCATGATTTATTCATAATTTTATTTGTGAGTTTGATTAATCTCATTTATATTAATTAAATTGGTTGGAATATTGGTGATTGTGCTTGGTAAATTAATTAATTTATGATAGGGTAATATAAATTAACTAATTAAAGGAAAAAAATTTAAAACCTGAGTCATCATTAATTATTATTTTAAATCTTACCCTATAATAAAAAAAAAATAAAGATTAAACTTTATTATTAAGCTTAAATCTCAAATCACTATTTTAGATATATTTTTTATATTTCTAATAAATATATACATTTAAGTTAGGCAAAATATTAGCATATATGTATAATAGATATCTTTATCATTAAAATTAAATAACAATACAAATTATCTTAGATATAAATTTTTTTAGCATAACTAACTTTTTATAAAAATAAAAAAAACTTAAAAATCAATTAATATTTTTAATAATTATAAAAATAAATGACGATTTCTTTTTTATTTTATCTCTTTTACATAAGTAATTCATCGAAATACCCCCACCACATTTAACATTATTTTATTGTTTTCTAACCCAAGAAATAAAGTTCGTCTCAAACCCGATGATTATTATATTATTTTCTCTAATAGCTTTTAAATAAATATGAAATCTAAGGACAGCATATGCAAGTCTATCATAATGGATTTGTTTACTTTCTATACAGATTGTAGAGTTAGGGTTTTTTCATAGCTTTGAAATATGCCTATTTATTTAAGTAGATCTTTTAATTATTTAAGAACATTTCTTAGAACTTACATTGTAAATTTCCTTTGTTGTTGCTAAAGGATTATATATATATATATATATATATATATATATAACATAAACTTATTATTCACAAACTTCATCTTTTTTAGTCCAAAACTTATAAAAATTAAATATTCAAAATTAAAACACAATAAAAAAAAATCAATATAACATAATATTTATTCCAATTAAAATATAATATAATCACCACTACGATCACCACTAAAATATTTGACACGCTCTCCACTACAAATTAAATATTTGTTTTTTAATAAAAAAATTAATATATAGGTATTTTAATATTTTTTTCATAAAACAACATCATATATAAATAAAAAAATTTATATACATATATAATTAAATAAATAGAAAATTATTTGTGTTAATAAATTAAGAAAGAGTCATTAATGACAATTAAATATATATTTAAAAAAGTTAAAAAATTAATATAAATCAAAATATTTGATCTTGTAATATAATTTATTTATCTGATTTTTTTTAATGATTTATTTATTTATTTAATCAAATGATAGCATAAATAGACATACATAAAATTGATTAAATAAAATAAAAAAATATCTTTCAAGATTATACTTATTAGAAATACAATCCAAAAAAATAAAGCTTAATTATATAAAACAAAAAAAAATATGAATGAGTTAGAATAATCTCTTCAAAAACTAAATGCATACAAAATAATTAAAAAACAAGAACTATTTAAAAAGGGACTTTTACATATATATATATATATATAAAAGAGAAGGAGTATTAATCTAAATATAAATTAAAAAATTATTTTAAAAATACATATATTTTTTTAAGGCAAAATAACAAAAACAAAGAAAGATGCAGACTTAGTTAGGTTTCGCTAGCCAAATTAGTGCTTGGCTCTTCTAAGAATGGTCTACTCGCCAATCCTAATTTTATTTTAATGTAATTTAGATGAATAATTATATATTTTTTAAAATAATTAGATGACACGTTGTTTGTCATTCTCTAGATTTTGGCTATCATAATAGTTAAAAAAACAAGTTTTATATTTTTTTTATTTAAAAATATATTTTTAAATATAGTTTTTAACAAAAAACACTTAGAAAAGAACCTAAATATATTTACAAACTCATAAATAATTCTAAAAAAAATCATATAAAAATCAAAATCAATTCAAAAGTAATTTTTTTTTCAAGCTTAGATTTTATTTTTAAGCAATCTAAAGATACAAAAACACCTAAATAAAACTCATCTTACCATACCATGTTGAAACCTTGGATCTCAAAATCAACTTTTATTTTTTTATTTCTTCTTTTTTTGTTATTCTTTCAATTATTTTCTTCCGAATTGAAATTTTAAATTTTCGATCTTCAATTTCGAAGAGATAAACCTTAACTATTAATCTCATTCCAAAGAGCTTGTTGTTTATAAAAATATAATTGACTTCAATTTAAATATGTTATGTTTGTGTTAATTACACGATTACACACACACTCTAATCTAAATTATTACCGTGAATTGGTTTGTAGGTGTGAGCTCAACGTTCTAAGTTGATTATCTATTGCAAATGAGTATTCCTAATTAACTCTGTCAGGGAAATGTTTTTTCTCGTCGCACCACTGAGTGATCTGCTCTATCCTCTTTAACGGGCATCCCATATGGTCTAGGTCGGCATCAGGAAGCCTGGAATTTGCTGGACATTAAACATCAACTTTGGCAGCTATTTAAAGATGATAGCGAAAGATCAACTCTTAACAATCACAGATTCACAACACCACAACAAAGAGAGGATTTTTTTTTTGGAAAATAAAAGTTTTGGGTTGGAATAATAACATAAGTTTTTTTTATAAAAAAAAATAGTATAATTTGAATACAATCATCTTTAAAAATATCATTTTTCTACACCATTATTATTTAAAATAATTATATTTAAAAATATGTTTTTATATACGATCGCTAATTTAAATAGTGGTTGTCTAGTTATGCGGATACATATTTTTTGAAAATTAATTACAGTAAATAAAAATCAATCCAAAATCTTAAAAGGATTCAGTAATCAGAAGATAAGATTGAAGAGTCAAAACCAAGAAAAAATAAGAAGATACAGTGATGTGATAGAAAAGAAAAAACAATGAAGCATCATTTTATACACTTTATATCATTAAAAAAATCTCAAAAATTTAATTTTAACTGCACATTGAAAGAACATTTAATAAAATTGTAATTAATCCTAAATTAGCTTCAAATAAAACCCCTAACAAAATTTTCTTAATTTTAAATTTTATTTCTTTATCATTTGATTTTTATAAAATTTTGAGTTGATTTCTTATATATATTAATGAAATTAAGAGAAACATAATTTTTGAAACCACTATTATTTTTAATTACAGTTTTGTTCAACCATTATTTTTAACTATAGTTGAATTCAAATTATGTTATTTTTTAAATATTTCTTGTTATTTTTCCAAAATTTTTATCAAAAGTGTTAGGATTATGAAATACCCATAGATCTTGCAACTATAAGAACCACCAAAAAGTTTATATATATCACATAAACAATAGAGACAATCTGCGCTCTATGATCCACAATCAAAAAGAGTAACAAATGAGTAGTTTGCCGTTTAAAGACCACAGCAAATTTCTTTAACAGAAAAAAGATAATGTATAAAACAACAGGCACATAGTAATCTCAAATAAACAACAATTTGGACCACGAATTTCCAAAACAAAAAATAAAGAACGTCCTTAAAAAAATCCGACATTTGCTCTTGTTCTCTTATACGTCATTACCTGGTCATGTCCACTTTCAGAGCCACCTGTTTCCCTGTCCTTGTCTCTCCCTCTCTTCCACCCTTAATTCAATCGTCGCATTTTGAAGCTTCCTCTTCTCATAATATTAAAGAAAAAATAATAATATACAAACACTCTTTTGAATTAGTCAAATTCATGCTTCCATGGAATATAATTAAGTAAAAGTGTTCAAGAAATAATATACACTGAAACTTTCATGTAAAAGATCTGTTCTTTTGTTTTGTTCTCTTATGGTAAGCTAGAGCTGAATAGCAATAAAAAGATTGAAAACCCAGCTCAAATTCTTCGTTTTTGAATCAAGAAATGACCTCTAATTTTTGGACATCTCGCATCGCCGCCGCTAAACAGCAGTATGCGTCACCGCACCATCATCAGGGCTCCCATCTAGGTGGGTTCCTTTTGTTTTTATTCTGCTCGTTTGTTTTGTGAGAAGTGTTGTTGTCGCCTCAATTAACGTTGTTGTTTTTGTTTGTGGATGTGTAATTAGATCGTTTCAATATTGATGATTTCGAGGTAGAAGAAGAGGTTAGACCTGATTTTCCATGTCCTTACTGTTATGAAGATTTCGATATCGGGTCTCTGTGTTCGCATCTTGAAGATGAACACTCGTACGAGTCTAAAGTCGCCGTAAGTTCCTTTTTTACCTTTTGGTTTATTGGGTAGATGGAAGTGATGCAAGTTTTTTTGCTGTTTGTCTGCTTGAGCTTGGTTTCTTGATTTGATTTCTATTTTATGTTTAGGTGGTTGAGTTTGTTAATTTCATGCTTCAAAATCTAATTTTATTTTCCTTCCTCTGAGAGAGGGGACCAAAGTCATAGTGATTGCTTTAGATTTTGCCTTTTTTCGTTCGGACATGAGAAAGTATTGATCTTTACCGTACTGGGTATGTTTGTTTGATACAAGATGCTAATGACATCTTTCTTTTTTTTATCGCGATGACGGGAAGGTGCAGGGATTGGTCTTTTTGGTTCTGTATTTGTGCGAGTAAAGTTTTTTGAAGTGACCTTGTAGTAGGAGTATTTGTTTAGGCATATTTGTGTTGGGAGGTATTGATTTCTCCCTAGAGTTCTTTTGGAAATACCTCGCCCATACCATGAAGTTCTGTAAGTTTTTAGTGTTCATATTTGCTCTGTGTTTGATCTTTCAATTTCTGAAAGTTGCTCCTGTTGGACAGGGGAGGATGTTGCCTCCCTCGAAGAATAATTGCTGATCTATTCTGTAACTGATGTTGCTGAAAAAGCAATGAATAAGGAATATGTGGTGTTAGATGACAATTAATGCGGCTAGTCCTTACTGAGCTATGCATATTTATGAAGTGATGGATGTGGGATCAGTGAGTCGTGAGCACATCCTTATTCAGGAGCCTTTTCTTTCTTTCTTTCTTTTTTTTTTTTTTTTCTTTTTTTTTTTTTTTTCTTTTTTTTTTTTTTTTTTTTTTTTAACATAGAAAGGAGCTTTTCAAGTCGAGCAGCCCTTGGTTTGACAGTACACACGACTGCTGACAAATTGACAATACAATCTGTTTCATCTATTAACCTGAGGAGATTATAAATGTTCAGCAGTTTCCTTACCTGTTTTTTTTAAGAAACTGCAGTCATCAAAACTCAACCAATTAGCCCAATTGAATAATTATCCTCATTTGGTATATTTGTCTTTCGTTCTTTCCTACAAGAAGAGGGTTTGGACATCTCTTGTATATCTATGCATCCAGGATAATGCTATGAAATAGAAATTAGAAAACAGCTAAGCAGACATGGACAACTTGGTATCTTAATTGTCTTATTGCCTGTTATTACTCAATCCCAGCATGGCTTTGGGACTATTTATGTAATTGTGTTTTGGGTTGATTTAATGCTGCTTCCACTTTGTCTTTGCAGGTTTGTCCTATTTGCTCTGTTAAAGTTGCTCAGGACATGCTAAGTCATATTACATTACAACATGGACACTTGTTCAAGATATCCTTAAAATGAAAACTTTTGTTACTCAAATGTTTCTCATTCATTATTAGAATATATGCAGGTATAAATGCATGGCTTTATATTTGTTGACAAAAATCAAAATAGCGCCCAAGTTTTCTTTAACTAAAGATTACTTGCAGAGACGTCGCAGGTTACGTAGAGTTGCAATTCCTAACAGTCAGGCATTGTCTCTCCTTGGTCGTGATCTCCGTGAGGCTCATCTGCAAGTGCTGTTAGGGGGTGGTGGATATAGGTCAAATAACACTAATGCTAATGTGTCCAATGCCTCCGCTGATCCATTCCTTTCATCCTTCATTTTAAATTTCCATACATCTGAAGCAGAAGAAATTTCAAAATCTGTGGTAACGAGTATAGAGGATTCTTCTGCAAAGAATTCAGCACCATCTCATATGTGGAAATCAAGGTATTGATTCAAGTTTTATATTTTCAACAACTTAAAGGAGCCAAGAATAAACTCATTTATGATTTCCTTTGGTCATTCAAATGTTGAACTAGAAATGATAAACATAAAATAGTTTTTCATATTTCACAATGCATTAACCAGTAGACACAATGTCTCCTTGCTGCTCTACCAGCGCTTGTAACCGTGGCCAACATTGAACCTTATGTGGAAACATCCATGTTAAAGTCTTGCTGGTATTGCCATCACTTTTTTTATTTTCCTTTGCCATCAATCCATTTGTTCATTTCTCATGCTAAGGGTGATTTGATATACTGCAATTTAATTGCTGGTAGTGATCTTCTGGTCATATGGGATGGGACAGGCATCAATGAACTTCTGTGTAGGAGGTTGGAGTTAAAGCTCCTGCTCATAACTAACAAAGGCAAGGGTGGTGCTTGGTTGCTTGTTGGTTAAGGGTTGGGGTAAGGCCAAGGATTTTTCTAAGATTTATTCCAGAATAAAAACCAGAGATACGAGCACTGCAAAGACTGATAGAGACATGCATACACGGTGCCCGAACACACCTGTACATTACATGCATCATGCATACAATTGCAAGCATGCACACACGTGTTTAAACATTCTGAGTTTTGCCAGGTAGAGAGGTGAATGAATTAATTGTAACTTGACATGTTTAACTGATATTTGTTATTTGGTAGTAGAATTAAACAAGCAGGTGATGATTTGGCTGCTAATGTCAAAATTGTCATTTGATGAATGCAAACTTAAACTATGGAACTTTTTCGGGGTTAGCAATCTAGGGAAATTGGGAGTTGAGCACCCAATACAGCATTTGGCAGTGCAATTTGGTCTGGATGAATAAACCAAGCACCGGTGTTGGTGAAGAAGCTGTGTCTAACTACTGTCATGTTCAATTACCGAAAGGAAAAAAATTTTCTCTGGGATTTTAATTTTGACATCGTCTCTTTGTTGCAGTTTTGATCCTTCTTTGAGTCACGAAGAGCGAGAAAAAAGGATGAAGCAAGTTTCTGGGAGAGTTGGTTTTGTGCAGGATTTGCTTCTCTCAACCCTGTTAAGCAACTAATAAAAGCAAGAAGTCAACTTAGAAATAAGGGAGGAGATTCAAAATCTTTCTATTAGAGGTAATTTTGGGTGGGATTTTATTTGTTTTATATTTGCTTAACAACCCAAATGCATGCCTCATTCAGATTCTGCAGCAGCACTGTGGCGACTTTAGGATAATATCTCATCCTTTTCTCCTCTCAACTAGTGATGTACTGCACTCAGCAGAAACAATGATCTTCTAGTTATGGAAGACTTGATTTATGAAATATTCTTGATGTAGCTTTTTCAATGATAATTTCAAGAAAGTTATCATCACACATGAGTGCATGAGTGGAAGCAGAGAGTTCGACACATCATTCCAGACTTCCCTCTAGTATAGGTGCAGCTGCAGTGAAAGCAATTTGTAGTTTTAGCTGATCATGCTGCCTTTCTTACCAGTTAAACATTTTTCTGTGAATGGTTTACAAGCTTACTAAACAAATGTTCATGTTTTTCTGTGGGAGGCATAGAAGAGAGGAAAGTGTATATGAAGAAAAGCCTATGAAATGGATATTGGTGGTTAGGGAAAAGCCTATGAATGGTTTGAAAGAGGTGTGTTTGGCATTTGATGGAAATTAGACAGATGGGTTGTATAGATTCAAAAATGTTCATGACATTTTATTTTTTATTGCTAGATTGCATGTGTTTATGTCTAATACATGTTGACTATTTATAAAGCCTTATATCCCAGCTAAAAAAGCTGGAAAATAACTAATAAAAACAATCCTAATCTAATGTAATGGTTGCAACAAATTAGAATTAAGAACTCATTTCAGAACTTAAAAAGAGTCCCTGGCTCCGAGACCTAGTTCTGTCAGGTTGAGTTGTTAATTTCAAGGCTGTTTATGTCACATACAAAGCCTTCTAAATCAAGACTTTTCTTCTCATTTTCGTTGTAGGTTAATTCCTTTTTCATCCTCTCCAGTTTATTCTTGGAAAGCATCTGTGGTTGCTTACTTACAGGTGCTGAAACGGGAAGAGGAAGAGGAAGAGGAAGGAAAGGAGGGAAAAAGACCTGAAACTGAAAAACCAAAATAATAATAATAATAATAATAATAATTCAAAGAGGATGTTGAAGCTGAAAATGAAGATGGTCTGAGCCAGGAGTTAGGAGAGGAGGTAGAAGAAGAAAATAGAAAGGAGAAAAAAGAGAAGAAAATTCCAAGAGGGAGAGAGAAACTGAATAAACCTGATAAACCACCCAAAAAACCACTTTACTGCTAGCATTGATGCCGTCTCTGCCACCAATAACCACCATAGTAGCTCCTTCGTCTGGACTCTGCCTTAAGAGAAGCCAAATCCTATTTACTTCTTCTTCTTCTTCTTCTTCTAGTAGGGGGAAAATGTTACTATTTAAAAATACAAAAACTGAACATGTTACATTACTATTTTATTTTATTTTGTTCTTGTTGACTTCACATTCACTTTTGCTTTGTTTTGTAAAACTGAGCTCTCATTTTTTTTTTTATGCATATGCATGTAAAATTTCACTTTTGAAAGTAGGTTACTATTTACCTATACATTTTTGGTATTTTATTTTTATTTTTATTTGTTTCATATTAATGTTATTTTCAATTTGTAAAATTGTGCTTTTATCATTTCACATATGCATGTGTGTGTAAATATTTATTTAAAAAATAAAAAAATAATATCAACAAATTTTTATCAAGTCTGCGTCATGTTTTGATAAAAAAATATTTTAATAGTTAGGTCAACTTATATCTTAATTTTTAGAAATTAAGATAGGCTTAATACACCATTTTCAACCTTCAAACAAGTTTAAAAGTGAGTAAACGAGTTTTGATCAAGTTAATATCATGTCTTATTTAAATTTAGATTTCAATGGTTAAGTTGACATGTCTTTTAGTTTAAGTAACCGACATTGGTCTAGCATGATGATTTTATGTCCTTTAGAGTAGGGACTAGCATGGGTTAAATATAATATTCTTTGCAATTTAAAAAAAATATATATGAAAAAAGTCAAGAAATGTAAATAAATAAAATAAACTAAAAGAATGATTTCTTAATTTAGGGTTTGATGCTAATTAGATAAACATTCATAATAGTAAATGACTTGAGAATAAGCTTATAAAATAATTTGGATAGTAAATAGTATACATAAAATGAATTTAGAATAAAAAAACTCATTAAAAAAAACATTATAACATTTAATACTAATGACACTCTAGCTAGATTTATTATTAAAATACATCAAAAACTATAAGACCCCTAAGGTAAGAAAATATAGCCAAACTAAATTCAAGACATAGAACCTAACCTCCAAGCCAAGAATGAAATTATGCAATTAGCCACCGCTAACCTATAAAAATTAGAAACAACCAATAGCCATTAAATGCTTAAAATGAGTTTTCATAATTGCTATAAAAATAATTTTATCTTTATCAATTTAAGTTTTTATTTGTAAATATTGTTTGCATGCTTCTCCCCTTTAATGATTGTCAATGCCAACCTGCTAGGTTTTTAAGGATTTCATGCATTATTATCTTAATCATAATTATTAAACTCAACCCAACAGATCAATCAGGTGATCTACGGACCTAGAGTGTAACTTGGGTCAAGTTTTCATTTTTATTTTTATCATATAAGTCAACCTAAAATATAAAATCAAGACTATCTTATTTCATAATAAAGTTAATCACTTAATAATTTAGATCCATTTTAAATTTCATGTCAAGGCTGGTTACTATAAAACTTGTTAAGTTTTGATACTCGTTCTTTACAATCTTTAACCAAAATTATCAAGAATCATTAGGTTCTGATATAGCTGACACAGCTAAAAAGTAAATGATAATGATGTTTATTAAAAGTCAAAACACTTAAATACTAAGAACATCATAGCTAGTGAAAAATACTGAAATATTTAATTTTTATCCATCCAAGTTTCACTTGCCAAAAAGCAATTACATTTGTTTATATATATAAAAAAAAACTAGAAAAGCATAAGAATACGGAAATTTTTAGGTGCTAGCTAAGAAAAATATCTTTTTTTTCGAAAAAAACTCTTGCATCACCTAACAATTTGGATCATTTTAAATTTTATATTAAGATTGGTCACCTATAATTTTGACCCTTTTTTAAATTCTCATGTGAAGAGTAATTAGCATTGCTCTATGTCTAGAATTCAACTTCATAAAAAATAACATCATGAGTAATAATAATTTTCTTGGTGCTAAGATTATATAGTTTATAAGCTTTTGAATAATCATTAATACAAAGAAAAATTCATTTTTTTTTTATCATTAAAACTTTTCATTTTTTAATCTAAAATATTGACATAGATAATGCACCCAAAAATTATATGATGATTTATCATTGGTCTTGGTCCATTTCAAACTTTATTTAGTGTTATATTTTTAATAGTAAATATGGGGCTCCTATTCAAAATATTAATGTTTCAATTGCGACTTTATATCAATAATTTTTGGTTGGCAATTCCTAGTCAAAAGACCTTGTATCATTTCTACTTGTATCATTTCTACACTAGTGCAATTTTTTCTTTCACAAACATCATTTTGTTAAGGCGTATAAATTGTAATAAGTTCCTCTTAAATCCATATGTCATAAAAATTTGCAAGTTCATGTGAGTTATACTCTCCTTAGTGATCTCTTTATAAAAAAGTTTTATTGATTTATTACCTTCATGCTTAAAAAAACTTGGTATCTCTTAAAGATTTTAAAAACTTTATATTTTTCTTGTAAAAACTAAACTCAAACTTTATGAGTATAATCATCCATAAAGGTGATTATATATATTTTACCTCCATTAGACAATGGAGTTACTACCCCACAAATATCTGAATAAACAAAATACAATGACTTCTTTTCTCTACATGATTTTCCTTATAGAAATTGATTTTAATGTTATTTGCTAACAACATATTATTCATAAACTTAAGAATGAGTTGTAAATTGAAAAGGATCCATCATCATATTCTTTTAATAGTAAATTTTTAATCCATCAAAATTAAAATAATCATAGAAAAAATTCCATAATCATGCTTCTTTAATTTTGTAGAAAAATATGAATGGCTAGTATTACGAAGATATAGTGGAAATAAGTAATTAGGTGTCATGTTAATCTACAGTTCTATATATTTTGTTTTTTATATAAACTTTATATTTTTTTTGTAAGTTAAATAGTGTTAATAATTTTTTTTCAATTAACGAACAAAAAAACATGAAAGATAGTATGAACAATATTTTTCTTGGTTTGAATCACTATTATACCAAACTTCGCAATAGCTTGATGAGATTCATCTAAATAAGATAAGATTGACTAATCTCCACTCATATAATTGTTATAATTAATGTTTAAATAACATAAATTTTGGTGATTTTTTTATTCATATGATAATTCATCAACAAAGACATTTTATTTTTTTCTGTAAAATTAAATTTTCTACCACCATTTCTATGGAAATTATTTTTACATTCTTATTTATAATGTTCATACTTGTAACACCTAATAAAACACGTAACTTTTAATTTCTTCATAGACTTTGGCTTGTAAAAAGCTAAATAATTGTTGTTATATCATTTTTCTTTTCTTTATGTATTGAAAGATTAATTATCTCTTAGTCTTTGATGTAAAATTCTATCATTTTTTGTT